GAATTCACAGGATTTGCAAGCACAGACAGGGACAGCAACCAAAGCTTCTGCACGAACCCTTCTCTGCCTCCTCTTTTTACTGAACCTTCGTGAAGGGACAACAAAACACCCAAACCCCAGCACAATGCAATGTTAATTCCCTAAGGAATAAACACTGTGAGACTGACTGGGGGATGGCAAGAGCAAGAGTAGATTGATTTCAGTTCCCTCACTAAATATAAAGCAGGTGAGGTTTGCTTTCCTGTAAGACATTTGCACTGCGGCGCTGCTGCAAGGCCAGAAAGATATTAAAAAATGGTGACATCAGACCAAAACAAATCTGTTAAGACCAGTTCCCACAGTGCAATGTTTCCTGGAAGGTTTTCCCTGCTCAGCCAGCGTGCCATTCCCCACATTTGCAAACAACAAAACCAAATTGTATTTCACTTGCTCAGTTAAGAGCAGGTATTTTTACACAGTAAATTAAAAACATGTAATAGACCTCAAATAATGTCATCACAAATCAACTGACTACTGAAAACCTCTTTTTCATACTTCATGTGTTACTAAACCCTTTCAGAAATTGCTGGTATCCAGCCTCACATCAGAGACAAGGCAACTGCTCAAAAATGGAAATAGAGTTTATTTCAGTATGCAATTTTATGCACAGAGCTGACTCACAAAAGCATACTTAGGCCCTGGATGACATCCAAGCTAATCATTGATTATGTTTTAAACTACTTGCACTGTAATTCCTAATGTTTCTCATTCTACCTGTTATTTTTAATGCTGTAGGTGTGACTGCACACAACTGACTGGTGAGCAAAAAGGACAGAAATGAGAAGAGACTGACTATTGCACAGAGAGGTAAGAGACAGAAGCAATCACAGAGTCAGCATCAGGTTTATTTCCTAAAATTAACGATCAGAAGATTAGTCTTAAAGCATCTTCGAGGTGCTTGCTGAGCAACAGCTTACAGCTCCGAGGCCTCTGGCTCTGCCCTGCCCTTCCTCCCCAGGGACGAGGGACAGCCCCTGAGACAAGCTGGCAATCATGCTCGTGGGCATTTGGAGCTGAATCTCTCTCTCCCTGAAGAGAAAACTCCCACCTTACAACAGAGTTGTAAAAATGATTTTCTATAATCCATAAAATACATCCTGGAAGTTTTTATTTCCAGCCCAGGCCGAAAGGGAAGTTGCAGCTTTCACCAAAGCACTGACAGACCTGGACTCACATCACAGCAAAAAGTGCAATTTTCATTTGATTTGAACAACTCATCTCATTCCTTTGCCTTCAGCTTCTCCAACACACCCTTTTCATTTTTCATTCCTTTCGGAGACAAACACCTGGCTGGTCATAATGCTGGTTTAATGAATTAATTTTTCTGTACATAACTGCTGACTTTTGGAAGCTCCCAATGCCATCCTGGTATTCATCCTGGACTTCAGATGAAGAGACACAGCAATGTATTTTACAATGAGATTTAATCTGGAGACTAACTAAACAGGATAGATTTGGCTCTGGAATAGCTGCTGAACTAAAAACTTCAGTTCACATGCAAAACTTCTGTTCTGTTTATGTGTATAAAACATGCACATTCTGAAACTCATCACTACTTGACAGCTTTTCTCAAATAGAAAACCAGCTGAACAGCACAAAAAGCAATCAACACTCTGCTTTCTTATCTGTAATTTTCTGTGGCTAGATCTGCACCAAGGCAGCTCTGGCTGGCACCTGCAGCGTTAAACCCCTGTCAGCATTTCCATTATAAATTCTCCACTTTAGAGATTGCTGTGTACCCAAACTCACATACAGATTTTCCATGCGGGAGCAAAGGGTTTATTACTGCTATTTAAAAAAGTGATACTATTTCCATCTCTGCTGCTTGAAGTCTTATTCTGGCTTCTTCACAGATACAATTTTCAAGGAGAAAAAGAAAAATGCCTGACACAAAATTCAGAATCCCAGGGAGCTCTGGGAATGTGGAGGGATGAGGTAAAACGACAGCACTGCCAATTCTTGACTCTGAAAACTTAACTAAAAGTTACAAATGGGTTTCTTAATTCTGCAAGCTAATTTACACCACTTGCCATGAACTATCTGTCCCCCACCCACAGGGGGAGAAGAAAAAAAGCAAACTTCATTCAGGTCCTGGGTACTCGCTGCCTTGAAAACCAGCTCAGGTTTGAGTGCACCCCCTGCCCCCTCCCCAACAGCCAGAGCTTCAGAACAGGCTGCAAGCTGACAGACACCAGAATTTAGAAAGGGGGCAGGTGATTTCTTGTTGAGAAGAACTGATTTTGTCCTTAACAGAAAACCTAGAGACCCAAGGAATGGAATTCATCATCCTCTACCTGCAGCTGTCAACAAAGTCCTTGTGTGCAGAGAGCAGAGGCTTCCCAGATGGCCACCCGCACTCCTCGCAGGGCGAGTGGAGAGCCAGCAAACTCCCAGCACTATTCCTCTGAACCATCTGAACCTCCAGCTACGGCCACGGCAATTATTTCCTAGACATGCCTGTTAAGAGTCCAGGTAGCGATCCCTGAAGGAGGAGCAGTATTTATTCTAACATGATTCCTAAGAAAGGAGAGGAAGAGCCGAGCTGTGAGAAATGCAGGCCTGCCAAACTCACAGGTGCCACTTCTGTTTGTTTACTAAATATAATTCAGTCCTACTCCTGCAACACTTTGTTAGGGCATGCTGGTTTTTGCTCACAAAGATGCCTTTGTCAGCTCTCTCCAGCAGTTGTCCAATACATTTTTGAAGTGTTTCCCACAAATCCAGCTCTGCACTCTCAGCCCCAATGATAAACAACAGCAGTATGCGGGATATGCACAGTGCACAGACATTCTATTGCACGGCATATAAAATATCAGAGCAGGCAAAAGAATTTGCAACAAGGCTTCCAAATACAATTTTTCAGAGCTTGACATGAGCTCAGCCTTTACTTAATATTTGACTCTGTCTGGTAATGAAAGACATCCTGCCTGGCCCAAAGCACTTGTGTAAAAGAGCAGATATTTGAAAGGTCACAAGCACTCGGAGCAGCAGGACTGCAGACGCCCGCTCGGATGTTTGCTCTGAGATAAATCAGGCTGCAGCAGCTGCTGCTCCCAGCCCCGGCCCAGGCCCTATATCAATCACATACACATAAACCTCTTGCACTGGGACACAGCACAATTATTTTTCTTTAACACTATCAACTATAAACCATGGCAACCATATAAACCCCTCCCCTCAGCTCAAGAGATCAGGTACTTCAGGTACTCCCTTACTCGCATCATAGATCTTTCAAACAAACTTCTGTGGGACAGATTGAAAATGGCACCTTAACAAGTAATGTTCTGTGGTCAAAAAATGCAACAAAACTCGTCCCAAAAGCTTCCATCCCCCACACTTCCCCTGGCGTCCTGCCCAGTCCATCACCTCTACCCACAGTATTTCTGGATTTACTACAAGGAAGAGAAACTCCAGAAAAACGGTTTAAGTTTCAGTTAGTTCTTTTCCTTTGAGAGTTTCTGCCCTGCGGGATGCAGTGCTGTGTGGGCCGGGCACCTCTGTGCCTGCCATGCTGCACAGCTGCCTCAATCCATTCCTCACGGTCACTCAAACCAAGAGCACAGAACAAATTTCCTCATTCTCCTCTGGGAACACTGAAGCATGTCCTTGGGATGGGAACTGTTACTACAGGGGGGGATGAAAGCAGGGAGGGGAGATCCTTTAGGAAAAGGAGAACTGCTGCACAAACCCCAGGGCACATCTCTGCAAAGCTCTGCTGCCTCTGTGCTACTTACAGAACTGGCTGTAGTGGGTCTCCATGAACAGCTCATCTTGGAAAGGAGCAAGGGATAGCAAAGAGGAAAGGGAAAATCAGACATACTTTTTTCTGCTCCCTTACACGTCCTGGAACCAAACCCGTACCAGGAAGGGATTTCTTTCCATGTTACGCTTTCAAGAGCTCCCAGAAAGAAGGCTGGGAAGGCACGGAGTCCATGAGCTCTTCCATGGGAAAGCTGCAGAGTCACCCCTGGCCTTGCTGCAGGGAGCAGCTGTCCCTGTGCTGCATTTCAGTGCCTGAGAGCACAGGAGCCATGGAGGCTGAAATCTCCTCAGGCCGTGCCACAGCTGGAGCCAGAGCTCGCCATGCTAAATACAGCATCCCCGAGCTGGGAACTCGAGTGGGCCGTGTTGGATTGCACAGCAAAGCAATTTAAGCAAATGACTAATCTAAACCCTTCAGTTTCGATCCTACTTTGGGCTTTGAAAAAGTGCCTGAAAAACATCAACCGTCAATCCTCACCTGCTGGAACAAAGCAAACCCAGAAGATTAATTTTGCCATCCTAACACCAAATCGAGGCAAATCCAAACAAGACTGTTTACTGACTTGTGCCAAGCCACTTGCACTTGGACTGGGACCAGGACTTGTGGCATACAAAAGGCATGACATGTTTTTCATTTCCAGAAGGAAGAAAGAAAAATTACTATGAGATTACTATAAGAAATAACTAATAAAGATTATTTTATTCCCCAGACTTGCTGGTACCTTAACTAAGTCAGTACTTTGATTTAAATTACCCTAAGATTCCCAGAGTCTTAACAACTATTTCATTACAATACACATTTTAGAAGTGTGCAGAGGTACATGTGTGTCCATTACACTTAGAAAGTGCCAAAGCATTTTTTTTTTAAAACCAGAGTGCACAAAGAGTTCTTCATGCAGCAAGGTCTCAGCCAACTAAACTAACAGGAACATTTAATTTGCTATTTGAACGCTCTGATTTTAAAAAATCTTTCCAGCTGACGTAACAGCGAATTAAGAAACATGTGACAGTAAGATCTGAAAATATTACAGTGGATGTAATCACAACTGAGAGCAAAGCTACATTAGATTAGAAATAACGATGATTGCTGCACAGAACATTCCAGCACTAACAATGGAAGCGCTGCAGTTGGCTCCAGCCTGGCAGCCTTTGTAAGGCAGTCTGTTTCACCAGCCCAGCAGGCTCAGCATCATACTTACTGCGGTGCCGGCTGCCGCAGGAGCAGGGGTGCCACGACCCTCCTCACCAGCCCCCTGACTCTGTTCTTCCGGCCCGCGCGTGACAAGAATCCTGAAGTGCTGCTGCCTCATGTTTTGATCTGGTCTGATTTTAAACAAGCATCCCTGCCCTTGAGGCATCCTCTCTACTGAATTGCTTCTAGGTATTTCTGCCCTGTTCCTGCTGTTTCCAGGCAGCTCCGAGTTCAGCCCATCAGCTGCGGGGCTAATTCCTTCTGCTGGTGGCTGGACAGGGTAGGAAGTACTCCTTTCCAGCCGTATCCGAGGGTACCTGACCAATCTGTCCCCTTTGGTTCCAGTAAAGCCAAAGTTACCTCCACCTCCTGCGCCTGTACTGCTTGCCTGTGGCTGCTGTAACTGGAGAACAAAGAACTTTTTCCCTGAATTTGCTGAGGGATCTGGCACATGCTGCAAGGACCAGCGCCGGGGTTCAGAGGTGGGAGCACTATTTGGAGCCTCGGGACCAAAGGGAAGTAGAGTAACTTGAGGCACCTCTGCACTTGAGGCCCGATGCTGAATCCTCACACCACTTATGTTTAAACCCGGAGCCGCCTCGCTTGCTTCTTCTCGCTGGGCAGCCGGCAGAGCCTCCTCGCTCTGGGGGTTAGTGCCACAAAACATTCTACGGTTACAGCAAACGCTTCCGTCTGTCTGCTGCCCCAACTCTTCCACCAGCCTGGGCGAAGAACTTTCAGGAGGCACCTGCGGAGCGCTCGGAGAAGAGCGCTTTTCACCGGGGGATGCGTAAGGCTCCCTGAAGTCAGAGAAGCGCCAGGGAAGCGTCTCCTCCGCGGGCTCCAGGGCCGCGCACTCGTCGGCGCAGCCGTCGGCAGCTTTGCGCTGCAGCGAGATCTGCATGGAGGAGCTCCTGGTGGGGCGCGCGTCGACGCCGTTCAGCAGCTGCGGGATAAACATGGATGTGCTCCTCTTCAAGGAGCCCACTTCGTGCACATCTCCGTCGCCGCCATAACCCGCTCCGTGCCGCGAGAACGCGTGAGGGCTGCTTCTTCTTGGCAACGTGTGGAATGCCATGAAAAAGTCATCTTCTCTCTCCCGGGCAAGGATCTCCGATTCGGGGGCTGTGTTGCTTCTCCCAGAGCCAAAATGAAACCGCAGCCGATGGGCCATGGTTTTACAGAGAGGAGAAAAGGAGAGGGAGAACAGCAACAATTCAGGCACTGCCAGAAGTTAAAAACCAAAGACATGAACTCCGAGGAAAAGTGTCCCATCTGCCAAACGGTTAGCACTGCAGCCCTGGGAGCGACAGATAGCAGAAATAGCCCAAGTGGCAAGCAGCATTCCAGGCATGATTGGGCAGGAGCAGTCAGCGCTCCTACACACACGGTGACATAGGGTAGGATGGTGGGAGTCACGTGGCCTGGTTCCCCCTCTCCAATGTAAGTGTGTGAGGAGTTTGTTTTTTCCTTTTTTTTTTTTTTTTTAATGCCAGCAAGAGCCTGAAACAGCACCTTCCCAGCTGCTCCTTTTCCATCAGGGAGGAGCGGCCCCAGCGGGAGAGCTCTCGCAGCTGACAGAGGCAGTGAACACACTCAGCACTGCCATAAATCTAAACCACATCAGATTCACAGGGCACACTTGCAGAAAAATGTAACTACAACAAAACGCTTCCATTTTCTGTTAAAAGTTTAAGTCAACACCGCATGCAAATGAGGAAAATTCTTTCAAGCATAACATTTTGGTGTGTTACAGCTCTGGGCTGTCACGGCAGAACAGGAATAAATACGACATGGTTATGCTTTCGATTTTAACCATGCTTATAACACAATTAACAAACTTTTGCCTTCAAAAGGCCCCAACAGCAATATAACCTGCAGCTCCCTTTGAGCAGCTACAAATTACAAACAAAGCAATCGTACATATGGCAAAGATCTCTCACACAGTAAAACCAGCAGAACCATGCAGGACAGCAAGCCAGAAAGCTCCTTTTCCAGATTTAGCAGGCAGTACAGGTGAGGGAAAAGGGAGCTGGGTGTTGCATGTCCGTTTGTACTGATTTGTCTCTGCACAGAACTGCCTGCTCCTGGCTGGCCTCCAGCGAGGGAGTCAGCAATGCCACCACGCGTGGCACTGCCAGCACGGGTACAGTTACACTCTCTGAGAGCCACAGAGCTCAGGACAGGCAGGCAGGATACACCAGGACGTGAACCAACCACCCTGAATCAGCTCTGCCACAACAGAGGGCACTCACACGTGAAGGGTGCACACACTTCTTAGCACATACCAGAAAAGAAACTCTGGTTAACCAGAAGTGCAGCTCCATCTCAGGGCCTGGACAGCTGTTCCCTGCCAGAACTGGGAAGCCCAAATCTTGCCCACAGCTCTGAAAACCTGTATGTGGCGGGTCAGTCCTCTGCCAACACATCTGAACCCTGCTTGCAAGCAGCTTGCTTTCAAAACCACAAAATTACCAATCCCAAGAGCAATGGCAGCTCAAACAGATCAAACTGCCAGCAGCCAGCACAATCCCACAGTTCTTTATATGGATTATGAGATGCAACAGAAATGGGAACAGCTTCCACACAGCAATGGGCCTGGAGATTGCCTTGTAGAAGCACAGGTGTTGGTATTATTTCATCTTATTTTTCAGCTAAAACATGCTACTCAATAACACGGTCTCTGCATGCAAAATGAGGCTCCATCACATTTACTCTGTTGAGATTGAGGAATAGAAAAGCAAAGACACCTGCAGAGACAGAGTGTGCTTTGGTAATTTGGGAGGAAGAAGGAACAAAGTCCTTCCCATAAAAGCCATTTAAGTATTGACAATAAGTATATGAGTGTAAAGCCAGTTCACAGTAAAACCAGTTCAGTGTCTCCTCATTCTATAAACACAACCTGATGGGAACCTGCTATTCCAAACCCCCCAAAGCAGTCACCTTGCCATAGACCTCCTGCAAGGAAAGCCATGGCTCCTAAGCCCAGGAGGTTCCAAGCCCAAGGACAGACTGACTTTGGAGGCAGGACCAGAAGGAGAATACACACAAATTGGTTCAACAATGAAAAGTGCTGAAACTGCCAGGGCAAGGCTGGTACTGCACACCCAAACTCAAAAATCCAAAGCAGCATGTCTGAAATAAGGATCCAAAGCTGTCATTTCCCAGCTGTCACTGCATACGAGCTTTCTCTCTACCCCACCTCCCTGCTCCTGTGGCACCTTTGCATTCCAATGCACGTGGCAGTTTGAAGTGGTCATTATGATCATTATATACAAATAAATATGCTCCTGGTCAGCCACTGTAGGCACAGCGCCACCGGTTCACCAATTTACTTCCCCCTGAGGAAAGACCCAGTCATTCAGCTGCCAAGTCCTCTTTCTCCCCAGATTACGGCTTGTGTGGCTTCCTTTGCTCTTTATTTATTAGGGAGATAGAAGGAAAGAACCTAGTTGTTGAAGACAGATGCTTTTACACTGTCTTTTTTAAATGAAAGTATCTTTGCAACTCTGATCCTGATCTTAAGTTCAGTAAAGGTTGTACTGCCCCCAGCCCAGAAAATGTCAATTCCTGATCTCATGGACAGAGTTGGAGTTACAATGTTCAAAAGGCAAACCCCCAAGGGCCATCCAACAGCGTGCCACTGCACTGGCACCTTCCACCCCGGCTGTACAGAGGGACACTGACGCTTTCCCCATGGATCAGAACTACAACAGAGGCTAGCAGCAGTCAGATGGTGAGAGCCTCCTCCAGAAAAGCTACTGCAGCAGCCAAACTCAGTGTGAGACAAAGCCCACTAACAACTGTGAGCGTTGTGAGGCAGAGATGAAACCCAAGGGAGCATCATTCTGCCACGACCTCAAACCTTCACACATGCATTGTGCACACAAGGTGCAGCTCTGGTGAGCTGAGGCACCTCCCCAAGCAAGCTGCAGAAGCATTAAAGGACTGGAAAGGGACACTAAAATGATAAAGCAGCTGCTTTATCAGCAACTAAAAAGGTCAGGACTTCAATGGTTTGAAGTGGAGAGGCCTGCAGAAGGACAGAGTGAGGAGGACCATTTTGGTCTGACCCAGAAGGGCACTACTTTAGTGTCCTTTTAGTCCCAGACTCAAATGGTTTTTACACCTCTATCTGTGTTTCTTGGCACGCTCACTGAAAGAACAGTCTGAAGACACCTTTAGGCTGTGGCACACAGAGCCTTGTGATTAGTGTGACACAACTAAGACAAGCACTCACCAGTCTGTTTTCATCAAACACCTCGAACAGGAGCCGATGGTTGGTTGGGTTTACCTGTGAGAAAATCCAAATGTCACTGCGAGTTCAGCAGCTGGACAATAACAACCTGTACTAGCTCAGGCAGCAATCAAACCAAACCAGGACAGGACTAACAGGTCTGATGTAAATCTTTACTTGAATTGGAGCACCAGAACCTTACTGCAACTGGGAAGAGCCTGGCAGTCGACATGAAAGCTTTTATTTGCTGTACTCAGTTACTGCATCTCCCTGGCAGAGGTCTCCAGTCCCAGGCTGGACAGACTGTCAGGGCTCCCTGACTGACTGACTGATTTATGAGGAGCAACAGTTTTGCTGCATTTCCTTGCTGTACTCAGTTACTGCATCTCCCTGGCAGAGGTCTCCAGTCCCAGGCTGGACAGACTGTCAGGGCTCCCTGACTGACTGATTTACGAGGAGCAACAGCAGAATTTATATTCAGATATGGTTCTGACTGTCCATTGCTCACCATCTCTAGCCCATTTAGCACACACCCTTGGAACACCCAGCAGAAATCTCCCCAACACCTGAAAACAGCAAATATACCTCCAGAAAATTATTTATTTAAACTGAAGCAGAAAGACTGCCAACAGTTAAAAGGACAAAATCAAACATAAAAAGAACTCTGTCAGAAAGACCGAAGAGATGCTATTAAACAACAAAAAGTTTTAGTGTTTGATCCAGTTACTGTATTTTTTTCAGAAAATCTTTGCAAGCTGAGTTACTATGACCAGCATGTTTAATTAAGAAAATTTAGAAATAATATACCACAATTCTGTGGGCTGGAGATGGACTTCCCAGTTTTGAGAAAACCAGAGAACTGTGACACACAAAACAGGGTCTAAGGTGCCATTATTGCTGAGGGCATTCAAGATGTTCCAACAGCATCTGTGAACTACAGCAGAGGTTTTGCAGCAGTGCTGTGCTTCCCTTTTCCTGAGATTTCAGAGCTGCATTACTCAGCTGCAAAGCTGTTTGGTGCATGTGTCCCCACGATGCTGAGGCCTGCAGGGAACACCCCTGGTGGCACTGCTGTCCCACAGCTCCCCACACCCACGGAACTGCCAGCCGCCGCCACAGCAGCCCTCAGCACTGCTCGAGATGAATGTCTGAAACCCCCTGAAATCCCACCCGACCTGCTTCTGTGGGAGCCACAGCTACACTGAAAGGCAAATGTCAGCTGTTCTTTGGAAAAGTATTGTCTGCAACTGAGCAGCAAAGCTACTGCCCTTCTCGATTATGTAACTGCAGGTTGGGAAACAGTTTCTAGGGAGCCTGGAGCCAACTCCTGCTGAGCATCCACCCCTCACAAACACAACAGCAAGTACTTCAGGGCCTTTGGAGTAAACATATCAACAAACAGAAACTAAGGTTAGCTGCACAATCTATTTGACAAACAAACAGAAAACATGTTCTAATAATTACTGTAAATAAAGAGAAACTTACTCTGAAGTAAAACTCTTCATTCCATTTAGGGTTCAGTGTCTGCAAAAGAAATAACAATATTTACATCCAATGTTTAAGTTTTCTGGTGTGCACTTACAAAAACATACATGCAAGTGACAGTTTTCTAGGGAAATAAAAGAGAAAGAAAAGCATGTAATAAAAGAAATTGAAAAATATATTGCCAACTAGAAATTCTCTATTGAGTTAACCAAATGTGGGAGGATATTTGAGTCAGATGATCCTAAAATAGATGTTAAATACAAAAAGAATTTGATGATTAAAAGACAAATCATTGAGAACCTATAGAACTAAAATCTGAAGACATTTCATTCTCAAGATTCATTTAAACTCAGAATAATTTTTTTTAAACACAAAGGTAACTTCAGGGCTACAAGAATATACTCAGATTTATACTGTGAAATAAACAGAAACATTTTAAAAGCCAAAAAAAAAGAAAAACACCAAAAAAACCCCACCAGAAATAAAACCAAAAGAAAAGGTTATTCCTTGGAATAGATCAGATATTCTTCCAATATCTTCCCAGCCCAAAGATTATAATTTTAGCAACCTGACTACAATGCACAGAATAAACGTGCATATAGATTGCCAGCTGAAGTGAGCTCAAGCATGACATAACAATTTGATAAAAAAGAGATGAGAGCTACAAACAGTAATTTGGGCATGTATAAAAACAATTGGACAATATGTCCAATGTTTTTGTGCTCGTGCCAAATCATTCCCTCATGCTCTCACACAGCAGAAATTTACGGGCAGAGCTGACAGGAAAAATTGGCTTTACACCCACGACAATTCTGTTCTAGCAGAGAAGGGGAATCTTGGCTGTTTCTCTTACTCCTTGCTAGAGATCCAACAGATTCCTCATACCCAGGACATGGGGCTGGCTATACTGCATGTCTCTACAAACTGGGAGTCCAGGACCTCGTGGCAGAGCAGGAACAGCTCTTGAAAGAAAATTCCACTGTAAAGGGCAGGTGAATCAGTGACACGAGGAGCAGGGACGGGCTTGTGGGCGCAGAGAAACTTTCAGCTTTTGTCCCTGAAGGAGCACAATGTATTCAGTAAAGCACAAATTACAATGAAGCACTAAGGAAAACAATGTTACATTTTAACCACTTGTACTCATCAAACGCTACTGCTGTGGCAAGGGAGGGTACACACAATTCACCAAACAAAGCACTGGCTTAACACGGGTTTTGTGGCACTACTGCCCATGCTAACCCATTAATTCCAAATGCTGCTTAAGCACAGAGTTCAGGGAAATCCCATGGCCAAGGCAGCAGAGTCTTTGGTGATGCCTGGGAACTCACAGAAATGTGTCCCACCTTTACAGGTCCCACTCTTGGTGGGCCGAGTCACAAAGTACAAACTTGTCTTAGAAGGAGCTGCAGGAATGGCTCCATGCAGACACGGGCAGGGAAACAGTGACAAAAACTCAACCTCAAGAAGAGCTACATCCTAAAAAGGGCAAGAGCTGCACACATACAGGACTGCCAGGAGTCAAGCTGAGCTAGACCTTCCTCGGGTATTCAAAAAAGG